GTCTGGTTTCTGACCTACAGAAACTACAAGAGAGTAAATATGTGTTGTTTTAAGTGGCTAAGTGTGTTATGTAATGATAGAAATGGATACAGGCAGCCCAAAATCCACATACTTAAAAATATGGCAAAGAGGAGGAATATTCTGGTAATCAACTGGAATAAAATTGAATGGGATATTAATATTTATTTCAGAAAAAGCATACCTGGAGCGCCTGGATGGCTCACTCAGTTAACCATCTGCCTTCTGCTCAGGTCATGATCCTGGGGTCCTGGGATCAAACCCCAAGTTGGGCTCCCTGCTCAGTGGGGAGTCTCCTTCTCCCTCTCTCTACCCCTCCTCCCTGCTCATGTTTGCTCTCTCTTTCTCTCAAGATAAATAAATAAAATCTCAAAAACAAAAACAAAAACAAAACACATACCTAAAGGCTACTCCTGAAAGTGTAAGACTAATCACTTGGCTGGTAAAAAATGAATCTAGTGGATCCTATTCATTCACTCATAAAAAAATATTCCTTCTGTACCCACCATATATCTAGCACTCACATGAGTTAATTTCACAGGGACAGAGAAGCCATTAAGTGAAGAGGTTCTGCATTTTCTTTTCTTCTAGAAACCCTGAATGAAGTTTAGAGTTATTAAGTCAAAGCATGCATTCTAACTTTATAAGTGGACGAGGAATACTTGTATTTCTTTTATTAGAGGGAAATGTTTGAGAAACTGAAATTTCAGATATAAATATATACCTTTCCTCCTCTTTTCCTTTTAAGCAAAATTTTACCTAAATTTTAGTTGATACGACTGACAGAAAATTCAGGCTGTGAGCAGAAGAACTAAAAGAAGGTGCCTCCTTACTTTTGCTCCCTTTATTAAACAGGAGGGATTTGAGATTTCTGATTTATTTCTCTTGTTCCCTTTTATTGTTCATGAACTTAAGGCTGCATTCCATTGACTCCAAAGTAATTTCTGGGAAAAGATCTGCTGACATTACAGGGTATCTGGATCATTAACCATGTCAGTGCTGACCGAGGAGATAATGTTCTGGCAGAAAATAGTTATTTGTTTAAAACAAAGGCTGAGATGTTGTCATTGCACACATCCTCATAGATGGTGTATAGCTTGTTTTTGTGGAAAGTTCTCAGGAAACCTCGAAGCTAAAGAAAATGCTATCGATTAGAAAGCAGAGTTAGGAATATTGTGTGTATTATCCCCTTTCTGTCCTATTCCTCCTAGAAAATAAAATTGACAACTTGGTGTCCCCTAATTTTTAGGATCATCCATCCTTTTGTTCCATTAGGGAATGTGCTAGTCATGGCACGGGGAGGAAAGTTAGGCCAGGGTACAAAAATGAATGGTAAGGGGAAGAAGCTGACTTGACAAATGAATCCCATGGAGAAAAGTTGAAGGAATAAAGTGTCTTTTGTCTGAAAAAAAGAAAAGATGGTGTCTCACAGTTTTTCTTTTATAACAGAGGTTGGTGAATGTCTTTTTCGTGTTTGGAGAGGGGGCACTACCAGATTACATAGTAATATTACGTAGATATTACGCTGGCACATATATAATGAGAGAGAAAACAAATTTATACAACATTTTTCTGATGAAATTAAAATATAATAATGGAAGGAATTTTTTTTTTCAATACTTGTTTACCAATGAGAAGATTAGAATTTGGGGGGGAAGGATAGCATTTTGCTTAACTGGGACTGTAAGTAGTATTCCCTATTTTAAAATCATTGCAAATATTCATCTGTAAAAACTCCTATTTTACAGTCTATACAAAAGTAAGTGCTGAGCTGCATTTAGTGCACAGGCCACAGTTTTCTGGCCTCTTCTATGGAGTGTTTTCGACCCTGAGAAGCAGTTACTCTCAGCATCCATCAGGAATTGCATTAGAGGGAATGAACATGAATGTCGGTGATAGGAATCAGTACTCTGTACAGGAAACCATAAAGACAGTAGGCAAGGGCTGTGGAGACAGAAATACAGGGAATTAACTAACCCTTCTGATGTCTGAACTCAGATAAAAAAAAACAAATCTCTTAAAAGTCTATATACTCCATGCTATATCCAGATAATATTTTTTTTTCTAGGTGATGACTTGACAAGTGTCAGTTTTTAATGTTTTCTCCCCTCTACTATATAGTTTTTAAGCTTAGTTTTGTTAATACCTAACATCAATCTTACCTGTAAATAAAGTCTGGACCTAAAAATAACCTGTTCTCCATTAAGGTCCATTGATTTCTATGAAGTAAACGCCATGTAAGAATTTCAATAAAGCAATGCACTTACAAATTTTTTTTTTCTGGATTTTTTTTTAAATTTCTCTTATTGTAGAGTAAAACTCCTGGATTTTTTTTTTAATTTCTCTTATTATAGAGTAAAACTCCAGTATAAGGTACCATATTTATGGTGTGTCAAGTTTCACTGCAGACAAAAATGACCTTCCCCTAATACAGGGGTGTATGTTCAACATTGACTAATATTATGTCCCGTAAACACCAGTGTCCTAGTTATCTGAAAAAGTAGGCTCTGCCTTTAAGATAAAACAGTCTCAGCTGTGTTAGCATTTTGCAAGCTCCCTGACATCACAACTGTTAGATTTGTTGTCAGGGAGGAAAACTCAGCAAACACATATCATACTTGCATTTAACACTTTTGCTCAAGGTAGAAACAATTTTAAAAAGCAACTTTATTTTAGCAGAGCATTGAAAACCTGCTTGTTTCTCTTCCTTAAGCTTTACTTTTGTATGGTTTGTATAGAATGTAATATTTTCCTCATCCTACACTTGATCTTAGCCAACAGGCTGAGAAGGGATTTTCCTCATCCTCAAACAGATGAAGTTTGTCGGGTGTAACACTTCTCTGTGTAATGTCCACTAATTCTCTAAGAATCATGCTAGATGCCTTCTTCTCTAGGAACTCCTCTTACTGGCCCTCATGCCCACATAGGGCCCAGCCTCCTTGTGCTCCCATAACACCATGCCCCCATTCCTACCATTACACTTCCATACTGTGTTAGGAGCCCGTTTAAAATTCCATCCAGTCTAACCCAGTTAGACTTTGGGCAACTTTAAGGCAGAGATCGCATCTTATTCACATCGCTCTACCCCAGGCACCTAAGCACAGTGCCGAACACACAGTAGGAGCTCGTTATAAGCTTTCTAAATTAAAAGGTAAGTGAATGGATGCACCGAGGGACAACTAGATGAGAAGAAAGTTCTAGTTTCCCCAGGGATGGACTGGCACTGTTTTCCAAGGAGATCAGTGTGACTCATTGCATAGTCAGGGTGACCATCACATGATTCTGGATGTAGGATAAGGATCAGGAGCAGAAAAGAACAGGAAGAGGAAAAGGAGACCCCCAAGAATGAGAAGGGGCCATTCCCTGGGAGCAGGAAGAATGCGAGGTGGCCCAGGGTTGCTGGAGATAGTTAGGGCCTTTGCAATGCTCTCCCCTTCCCTCCCAGCCTTCCCTTTCTTTATTGTTTATTTACTTTTTAGTTCATCCCTACTGTTTTGTAACACTTTTTTTTTTTTTTGAACAATTCCCTATCTCTGCTGAAAGGACCTGAGGAAGCTCTGCTTGGCAAAGCTCTGTGGGATGAGAACCCCCGTCCCTGCTCTTTCTCTTCTCCCTTCATTCTCAGGGCCACTGAGTGGCGATGAGCAAAGAAAGCAGGAGGATCCTGTCACTTTTTCATCGCTGAATACATTGAGACCTTTCCTTTTGTTTAAATACAGGTGGTAGGGTTGAGGAGGGGAGAAAAGCCTTTTTTTGGTGGGAGCCTCTTCCTTGTCCTTTAATACCAGCATTCGAAAGTCCTTTTATAGACTCCTCAGTGCCCAGGGCTGCAAGTACATCCACAGATTCCTTCCCGCATCTGTAGTGCTCTTCTCAATGTCTCCCCACCTTTTTTTTTTGGATGGATTTAGTTTTCTGTAAGGAGTCAAACATGTCTTTGATTATCTGGCCAACCTGTGTTTACCCCCTTCTCCTGCCCCAAACTTCAGTCCCATTTCCAGCCACTGAAGCTGAGGAAGAAGCTCTACATGAGCACTTGTAAGACTAGCTACACGCTGCCTGCCCATCCCCCATGGTCAGGATTTGGGGAGCCTGGGGCAGAGCCCCAGGGAACATCTGCTGGAGACTCTGGAGTGTGGACATGCCTGGTTTCCACACTGACCATGTCTAAGCCCTCTGCCACTCATGCAAAAACTACGTCTACGTCCTCAGGAGAACATTCTGGTTCTCATTTTTCTAATCCATCCGATACTAATTAGAAAATGAGAATACTTATTCATTTTTACAGCAGTTTTCAAAAAGAAAAGAGTAAGTTCATAGACACGAACTATGAGGCAATTTTTCTCTCCAGAAAATGACGAGAGCAGTGAAGCAGCAGACGACGCAAATGGTTCGCTGGGATTAGTGATCTAGTGGCTGCTGACATTTTAAAATTTGGGAACAAGTCGAAGCAAGTCTCTTTGTTTCTTTCAGTATTATTGCCTCTTTTCTTGCAGTGGTGCCATGCAGGCCAATGTAGTTAAAACTCTGATACAAAGGGTCATTTTGTAGCTTCAGAAGGAAATTTCTGTGCTTTCCAGGGGCTTATCAACATTTTCTTATACTTGTAAGGCAAACACATGTATAAAAAAAGGACTTAATATCTGATGTTTTCTAATGTTCGTGGAAACCACTCTGATGGCACTGCATGGACAATACCAAAGCTAGAGAAGAGAAGAACAATATCCATCCAGATTTAAACCATCCCAAGGACAGGATTTCGCACACATCTAAAGGCTCATCACTTGAGCAGTTAAGAGCAATGAAACCTTCAGAATCAACTTAGGAAGAGTCTCTCTAACCATTTGTGCATCCTGATACTCTACTGTTGTATAAACATATTTTTATCAACCCTTGCAAGACACCAGTTTTAATAAACAAAGTAACAAACATAAACTATAGGATTCAGGAGGGTAATTAGTCCAAACAACTGGCATACTCACAGTTGCATTTCTTCTGAACAAACCGAAGCTTGCATGCTGTTCTGTAGGTGGAGAGTCGGATGCGATCCAGATCTTGAGCCCCTGGGGGGGGGGGGGGGGGGGAGAAACGTACACATATGGTCTGCCATGTGTGTGGAAAGCGATTTATAATATTTATAAAGAAAACGGCCATAGATAGTATAACCCATTCACTTAACTTGATTTTTATCTTTATTAGACTACAAATACAACTTTTAGACTGGAAATGGTCTGCCTCACATCCCTCAGGTTCTGGAGGAGGAGAGCGCGCGGAGCCAGCACGCTGGTTGTCCACCGTGTTCGTGGGCGGAGGAACACGGCCTCAGCCCTGTGGTGTCTGCCACTTCCGAGAACAATCTGCTCAAGCTGTGACTTCAAACAGCAAGACGATAGCAGTGTCGTCAACCAACCATTTTAAACGCACTGTGATGGGTCATCAGAATCTGGCTGCGAGGGGCGCCTGGGTGGCTCAGGTGGTTAAGACTCTGCCTTCCGCTGGGGTCATGATCTCAGGGTCCTGGGATCGAGCCCCACATCCGGCTCTCTGCTCAGCGGGGAGCCTGCTTCCCCCCACCCCCGCCTGCCTCTCTGCCTACTTGTGATTTCTCTCCTCTGTGTCAAATGAATAAATAAAATCTTAAAAAAAAAAAAAAAAAAGAATCTGGCTGCGAGCGGAGCGCTCGCTGAATGTGGGGTATCTTTTCTATGCGATCTTAGGTCCACTGCTTTTATTTATTTGTATTTATAGGATTATTTATTTATCTGAGAGAGAGAGAGAGAGAGAGAGAGAGAAAGAGGGGGAGAGAGAGCACAAGTGGGGGGAGAGGCAGAGGAAGAGGAAGAAGCAGAGTCTGGGCTGAGTGGTCTCGGGAGGGTGGGGGGGGGGGGGGTTCTCGATCCTGGGCTCCCGAGATCATGACCTGAGGCAGATGCTTAACTGACTGAGCAACCCTGGTGCCCACATCAGCTGCTCTTAGAAACCTCAGTTTTCTCATCCGGAAGTTGGGGATGATGATACCACCACTTCTTACTTCACAGAATTAGGAGGCAAATGCGTGACTACGCCTAAGCATGGAGACCAGGGCTTGGCACAGAGCTGGCGCCATGTATTCATCAGTATTGCTAGTGCATATCCTGCAAACTTTCCTGTCAACCTCAGAGGAGACTCCTTTCTAAGAACAACCACTACTCTTTCTTATACTGTGGCTTCCCACTCCTCTCTCTAGAGAGAGGAACACGTTCCCCATATTCTTGAAAAAATTTGCTCATTCTATACTTCTATTCAAGAACCCAGCATGGCTTCTGCTGCTCACCAAGTCTGAATGTTCTGTTGCGAATCCAGGCCCCTCTGTGTGTCCTTCCCATGCCACCAACCCAGTAATATTTCCTATGACTCTCCACCCAGAACCTCTGCCAGGCTGGGGCTGGTGTCCTCGCAGCGCCCTGCGGACGGGCTGCTTGCTACATCACACCAGAGTTCCTGGCGATCCTCCTACCTTTTTCCGAATGAGCTGACCTCTAGACTGTGTCTAGAACATAGCAGACTTTCAACAAATGTCTGTTCTTCTCTGCTTCCAAATATTTGGATTTCTTTAAGCCCATGTTTATGGTTCGTAACAGATAAAAAGGCACAGAGCTATATTTTGACATGTGTTGAACTTTACCAGTAGTGCTACATAAATGATTCAAAATAGAATAGTTAGGGTAGCAAGTGAATGAACTGGCCTAGAAATAATTATGTTAGGAGGCCAATTAAGTGCTTTCCTAATGAAATTCAGGGGGAATTAGCAAGTGTCCTGCATTGAGAGCATTTAGCATTCCCTCGAATCAAACTGATCTCTTTAGATTCGTTTAAAAATGATATCAATATTCCTATTACTTCCCAGTTTTATGAAGCAGATTATTAAACATTCATTCTTGTGAGAATGTGTTACTTGACAAACAGGCTCATTGACACTGGGTGCTTGAAGGATCAAAGAGGTAGGTAGGGCCCATCCTTACCCAATGCAGGAATTCTCCTAACCATGCCCTTAAGAGATGGACATGTGGAAAATGGCCATATGGATTATTTTCAATGATAGGGATGGTTATAGCTTAGTAAAAATAAATGAGCTTTTTTTTTTTTAAAGATTTTATTTATTTATTTGAGAGAGAATGAGTGAGAGAGAGCATGAGAAAAGAGAAGGTCAGAGGGAGAAGCAGACTCCCCAAGGAGTTGGGAGCCCGATGCGGGACTCAATCCTGGAAGTCCGAGATCATGACTTGGGCCAAAGGCAGTCGCCCAATCAACTGAGCAACCCAGGCGCCCAAAATAAATGAGTTTTAAAGTCAGTAAGCCTTAATCTTTCATTTCCTAGTTGTGTAACCTTTGACAAGTTTTTACTCGGTATCTGATTTCTCCATGAATATGGCGATTACAGTATCAGCTTTAGAAGCTGGTAAGGTCTGACGCTTGTACCTAGTGAGCACTTAATGGCAGGTGGGACTCCTTAAAAGGTTCCTAATCCACTTCTGGGCAACAATAAGTGATACTGATAGCGCTAAGTGATAGAAATTTCTTTTTTATATTTGAGCTTTAATTTGTGTCCTGATAAGTTCAATTTTTTTGATCTAATTTCCTCTCTGGAGACACATCATTTTTCCTCCCTGTCACTTGATAATTTATTTCTCACACATTGGGAAGCAGCTATCACGACCATGACTAGCATCTTCATTACCATCTGAAGATTATGTAAAAACACCCCTCTCATCATGGAGTTTAAAGTTTAGCTGGGATCATAACTTCTTGACCTTTTAGAGTGGACAGGTTCAATTCCACAGCCATTTCAAGGCCATTGTCTGCCACAGATGGAGGCACACAATAGGGCTTCAACACATGCCTGTTGCTATTATTATTCTCATTATCATCAGGCATGGCTTTGAGACCTTTATCCATTCTAGTCTTCTGGCTCTATGGGTGGCTCGTAGCTCCTTGAAATGAGATATACAAAATTAACTCAAATGCCAGTTATTGCTTTGTCTGTGCAGAATATATAGAAAGCAATCATTACCACTTTTGATAAGACACTTACTGATACAATTTAAAAAAATTAAATGGTTCATTCTTCTGTCTCTTTTCATTAAAAAGTGGGTTTAAAAAATCGTATGTACTTACATCTTATCAGGTCTTTTCTGTTTTTTATTTAAATGCTTATTTGGAGGCTAAAGATAGGACTTTGTATTTATCTGGTTAGTTTCTTTTAATTTTTAGCTCGTGCTTATAACCATTCTAAAATTTTTTATTTTGCCACTGGCATCTCCAAGGGACTGCCCAGTTTCATGTCCTCTGTAAACCTGAGAGGCTCCTGTGGAACAGGAGCTCTCTGGGGTATTGAATAACCAGAGATGAGAGACTATCTGAAATGCCTGAACGCTCAGTCTGCCTTTTCCCCTGGAGGAATATGTATTTTTACTGATGCTGTGCTTGGGTCAACAATCACTATCTGTAAATAAGTCTTTAAAAGAAGACATTAGGGACACAGATTATTTGTGTAAATTCTGGAAGGATAACGATAAGCCCCAGGTGTGAAAGGGCTTCGATGTCTCACACAATTAAATGTCTTAGTTCCAGCAAGACCGTATCCTCCGAGGACAGAAACCATGGCTCCTCGGCACCTCCTTTTCATAGAGGACCTAGAGGCAATTCAGCAAAGGTGTGACTTTCTTGCAGGTAGTCAAGAGGGGCACAGAGATGATGCTTACGGACAGGAGAATGAGAGGGCTCCCTGCCCTATCACGATGTGGACTTAATGGACCCTCTGTTTTGTTCAGGAGTCAGGAAGGGGTCTGAGGGTCTCTTGCTGTTTCCTATTTATATAAGTTCCTCCTGGCTGAGGATGTAAGCCCTAAGTATCAGACAGGATGTGGTGAGCAATGAAACTGAGCTTTGCAGACATTAGCTTTTCACACCACTTTGCACAGACAATGTAAGTGGCAACAGGATCCATATGGTTCTGGGACCCAAAAAAGCTGAGCTGAGACAAGCTGCACCAGGCGCTTGCTCTGTTTATCCAACTTGTTTAAAACAAATTTATTTGTCTCTGCCCCAGTAAACTATAAACTTAATTCAGTTTTACATGTGTGGTCTCTTCTCAAAAGTCTATAAGCTCCTAGTCTGCTGTGGGAGTAGTCACATGTCTTCTGTGTCCAAGGCATTGGTTAAAACCGAGGACATGAACAGATCCACAAATAGATTCTTCTAGTATCTACTAGAGGCTGTCCTCCAAGTTGACTGACCCATTGCTTATTCCTGCAGACATGGTCACATCACCATCTCTAAATCTACCTAATTACAGCAATTCAGCTCACATTTCTCTAACATACCCACAACGTAAGAGACTTTGCCAGTATCTTGTTGAAATTAAGGTTCGTTTTTAGGCTATAGTATTTTCCTGAGCTAGCGGTCTAGTAGCCTTATTAAAAAGGGAAATTAGCTGGCTTAATTCCTTTATAAAAAAGACAGAATTTGAATAAGTGAATGAAGAAGTCAGTAGAGCAATCCTTGTTCTTAGCATCTTGAAATATCTAGGATTAGCACTATTTTTATTCCGTCATCTGGAAAAAAAAAATCCATCATATAAAACCTGCAAGTTCATACCCTAGACTCTCAAGACTCTATAGTCTTCCTTTCTAATAAAAACTAGGTATAGCAAAAAAATGAGTATAGTATTTCCCTATTTTTTTCTTTTTTACAATGTCCTCTTCATTATTTCTGAGAAAAGTGGATGGTATTTTTTTCTTTTAGTATTGTATCATCGGGATATAATTCTTTAAAACATTAGAGTCAACTCATTTAAATAATATATTAGATTTTCTTCATAATGATAGAGAGGGGCTGGGAGCAAATAAGGGTGGAGATGAATAATATTTTCTAGACTTTTGTATATATTTGAAACTTTTCATAATAAAAATGTAAAGCTAATTCACTTAAGGTAACTTGATGCTCTCGTACCATCTCCTTAAATCTCTCATACCCATGTCATACTTGGAAGAAAGTGATAAAGACAAAAGCAAAGATGGCATTA